CTCTGGAGGTGTCAGAGCTCCAGAGAGGAGGAGGCCGACTTCAGCAGGAGCCAGTCCGAGCAGGAGAGCCTGTGGTCGGACAGAGGATGGACGGAGGCTGGGCTGACTCTCTGGAGGTGTCAGAGCTCCAGAGAGGAGGAGGTTCAGGCTGTTTCAACACGGTGTTCACGTTGCTGCATGCTGAAGAGACTTGAGCATCATGAAATAAAGAAAAGGACACTCTCACTGTTTATCAAAGACGCTGGTGGTTCTGATTTCTGGAGTAGAAGGAAGTGGGACGAATAATGAAACTAGTGTTGGATCAATATTTAAACACCACAAATTGTCTGAAAACATTTTGCAGCGTGCCAGTGAGGCTGCTGGTGCAAATTCAAGCAAAGGTGTAAAACCAACATGCTTGCGTTTTGATGTATGAACTGTAAAGAGGGTTGAAGAGAATGAAGAGTAAATAAAATGTTAAATCTGCTGCCAGATGTTTCTGAGGGTCGCCATGGTAACCGCACACCTGCTGCCACTTCCTGACTCCCAAATTCTTGAGACAGACAAATACAGAGTGAGAAGTAAACCACAAAAACAAGCAGTCGTGTTAAATATTGGGCTAAAACAAATGAATCTGACAGCTGTGGTGTGCACCCTCTCCAATCTGAGATTTGAGAGAACACCTCAAGTAAAGTATGAGAAAGAAAACAGAAACACCTGCTCATTGAAGTCTCAGGACACATGTGGACCAGGAAAGGTTGTAGGACTAAGACGAGTTTGTTTCCAAAAGGTTTGATTGTATAAAAACTATCAAAATGCCAGTTCAGTGATGTAATATCCAACTTTCTGTGCCCCATTTAAACCTGGAACGGTGTTTCTACGGTGAAGCATGGCTGAACTGGAGAGCTCTGAAGAGGACTGGGTTTTCTCATCTGCGTTGAAAATCATTTTCAACTCATCTCTTTTTATTTCTCGCAGGTTTTTGCTCATTTTGTCTTCACAACCGAACGTCACCGCACACTGCTCCCAATTAAGTCCTAAACTTTGGTTTGCAGCAGTTATATCGGCTGCATGGTGGATCAGTTGGAAGAGCTGCTGCCTCTCAGCAAGAAGGTCGCTGGTTCCAATCCCAGCCCGGGACCTTTCAGGGTGCAGTTTGCACGTTCTCTCCATGCTGCGTGAGTTTCCTCCCACAGATCAAAAACATGCATGTTAGACTGATCGGTGACTCTAAATTGTCTCTAGGTGAGAGCGTGAATGGCTGTTTGTCTCGTTTGTCTCATCTGTGTCTCTGTGATGGACTGGAGACCTGTCCAGGTGTCACCGCCTCTCGCACACATGACCCCCATGACCCAAAAAGGACGAAGCGGGTAAAGATAATGGATGGTTGGAATAGTAAAAATATGTTTTTTAAATCTACTATGAACGGTTAATGTGTCCTTAAATTAAAAATGTGTATGCAAAATGTGTGACCGTCTTCCCACTACCATACTGAAGAGCCCAAATGATTAAATAAAGTTGATCAACAACAACAACGTCCACAGAAGAGCCAAAGAGAAATCCAAAATGTTTGATGTCTGGGCGTTTGCACACAAATACATGACGTATGCCGATAAAGACGGGTCGAGGTGAAACTGTAACGTTGTGGTCTAGTTTGTCCAAAAGCTCTGTCTTTATGGTGTCCCGCCGTCTCAAGCTCTGATGTTTATCTTTGACAGCCGTCTTAATCATTCACTTGTCTCTTTTATTTACATCTAAACTTGTTCAAATTTGTAAGATTGTACGAGTCCGACATTTTTGATTACCTACACAAACTACTGCCTAATGTAGACCATTCATGTCACTCGAGCTTCTACTTGATTCTCAGTGAATTCAGTGTTTATTTACATCGAGCGCGTACCCGTACTTCAGAGAACCGACTAACTACTAGAGTAAAAGCTTTCAAACGATCCATTTGGTCTAGTATAAGCTGTTTAAAGTAGATGTACACAATGAGTCTCTTTGAAAGGGCAGTTAAATGACGACACTGAAACACAATGAGACTTTGCTGTCGCTATTCAGTCAATGACTGCATGAATGAATAGTTTTCTCATCGCCTCTGATGTTTATGCAAATTAAAGTACCCCAAAATGCCAGATAATTAAAATGCTAATAAAAAGTCTGGAGTGACCGTTATGTCTGAGCCGTCACACATGTAGTTTAAACCGAGCAGCTTCTAAACACAGTTACACAGTTACCCGACAGGACGGTTGATGACCCCGTGTTAAGAATAAAACGCGATCAGAAGTGGTTAAGGGAAACATGTAAAACATGTAAACATGTAAAACATGTAAAACGTGTCCGAGCGGCCGCGGTTGGTTCCTGTAAAGTAGCCGCAGCATGCTAGCTGTGGCTAGCGGCTCTGACAGGCCCGCCTGGCGGCACCAGGAGCTCCCGCCGTGGGGCTGCTCCACAGCGCAGCAACGCCGCTCCAAGTTCTGCTCACTCCGTACCTGAATTAATGCAGAAGTTTGCATTTACCTGCTGGGAGGTGAGCTCTACGTGCAAGGCTCGAGAGGTTGAAGCTCCAGAGTTTGTGACAGAGGCGGCAGGGATGGCAAGGACCCGACCGCTGATGGAGCTCATCCTCCTGTCGGCTTCAAGCGAGTCCCCGCTTCATTCAACAAAACGTCCCATCCTCCAGGTGTGGCTCAGCTAAAAGTTCAAAAGGCCAAGCGCGACCATTAAGGACGTGTAAGCACGACTGTTGCGAGGCTACAACAGCTGTCAGCTAACCGAAGGGACGTAAACAAAGTACAGACTACGGTTAGTTCGGAAATCCTTCCCTAGCTAGGTGCTACGTCACCGAGGCTTGTGATTGGCTCAAATCAACGTCTGTCAAAAGAGGCGGGGCTTAGTTCAGACAAGTCGTGCTCTCATTGGTTGCGGTGTCTGTTCATCTTCCAGGAAGGAGCCAACTTCCGTTCAAATCTGTCAAATCTCTGAGAAGTTGCACAGAACAGCGTGACATGCAGGTGACGTTAAGGCGCAGGAAGATCAATTCATTTTATTTTTTTATTAGAGCTTTTTTGTTTGTTTGTTTTTTAAAGTGCACAAAATGAATGAAATCATACTTCCTATTAACAGACTAAGTTCAATTACATAGAAATTTTTTAGCACATTTTTCGCACTATTCTACTACGACTATCACATTCTCAAGCTTTGTCCACTTACAAAGACTGTTGACTGAGAAATATAGATGATAAATCAATATAATACATGATACTCTAAGAATATTCCAAACCCTTTATTGTTGGTGGGGAAAGGCTTTTTAATTGAAACTTTTGTCATTTTTAAAAAATATATATAAATAAGTAGATTACTTGTTATAGACCCTTCTATCATATTTCTCAATTATTATTTTTTTTGTGCAACGTTTATCAACGGTTTGCAGAAAATCATAAAATAGTAAAGACGAATAAATACTGTAAATAAAAAAAGCTTTAACTTGCGTGCAGTATCCCCAAATAACCACCAGGGGGCGACTGTAGCCATCTGCAGTCATGAACGCACAATCAAAGGACTTTGTATTTCTGATTGATTTGTGCTTTCTGTGAATTTGAAATATTTGCCAGAAGACCCCCTCCTTCTTTTAGATGTATTGATCTGTTGTGGTCCATATCAATACAAACCAGTTTTCTGTGGCAGAAAGGAACCACTGAACATCAGTTTGAACATTTGTACTTCACTTCTTTTATGTTATTGGGCCCATTACTTGTTGCCGTGCTTCAAAGATCCAACTCAGTGTCGATATAAAATAACACGAGCTGTCATCAAACATTCGGGACTTTTACAATATTTACCTTTGCCGAGTTGTGATTCAACTCAACAAGCTATACATTTTCTTACAGGATTAAAATCATACAATATTTTACAGTGGGTTGCAAATGTACACCACCACCTTGCATTCTTTCTATGTAGTCCTCTCATAAGCTAGAATTTAAAGGGAGATTTATTTCGATAAATAATATATCTACACAAAATCCTTCAGAGTGCATATTTATTCATCTTCTTACCTGCAGAAATTAAATAAGATCCACCTGTTGGCAGGTAAATGATCTCAGAGTAAATACACTTGTTCTGGCTTCCCCAGAATCAATATCAGTCAGGGACATCAAGAAGACCAAGGAACCCTCCACATAGTTCAGAGACAAAGTTGTGGGGATGTACAGATAAGGAGTTCCAAAGAATATTCCAGATTCTAAACATCTGCCCATAAGACCTTTGAAAGCTGCAGGAAGCTGGGATTTTTGGAAGTGTGATGGGAAAAAGACACCGCTTGAGAAAGTAAAATGTTTTTATTCTCTTCCCCAAACACATGGACACAACTCAGACTTTTAGTCCATCAAGAATGCCATGTCTGTTGCAAACTTAACATCTATCATTGTGCGGAGAACACCTTCTCCACAGTGAAACGTGGTGGTGGCAGCATGATGGTGTGGGATTTTCTTTATCAACATGACTGGAAAATTTGTCAGAGTTAAAGGGGAACAAAAACAAGTAGAGCAACATATATAGAAATGTTTGAGGGAAACTTTGAGTCTTCCAGAGATTTGAGACAGGGCCAGAGGTTCACCCTCCAGTAGGACATTGACCCTAAACACACCAGTGAAGCAACACTCGACTGGTTTCAGACAGAAAATAAATAAACAAACAGTTAAATACCCTGTAAGTGTCCAGTCAAAGCCCAGACCTCAGTCTAACTGAGAATCCCTGCTGTGATTTAAAGCATTTTGGACAAAAAGAGAAGGAGCTGCAACAGTTTGGTCACAACGAATGCACAAAAATTTCAATAACTTAATGGACCAAACTCATGGAGGCGTAAATGAAGAAACTTGCAGCTGTAACTGTTGCAAAAAGTGCTATAGAAAATATTGAATTTAATTTTTGTTAAATTATTTTGTTTATCATCCAATATCTATTTCATTTCCAAGTTTTTAGGCAACAAAACAGAGAGAATGTGAAAGGGCTGGATATCTTGCCACCCCACCGACTGTATCTAATCATTTTAAAACATATATAGAACTGAGCCAATTAAAGTTTTAAGTGGGTTAAAATTTAGGTCCTTTACGTTTTTCCTTCATGTTATCTCAATTTTTGTGAAGTTACACAATGAAAAGTAAGAATTAAGTGAGTGTCAAAACAAAAGTTTTGATATCTATTCTTTATGTACATACATGTCTTTACGGTTGTCTTGTGCACAAGCGTTGGCTTTTCTGCATTCAAAGTCCATTATCGATGTTCCTCCCACACATTCTGTGGCAGTGACTTGACTTCATTCACTATTTCACACTTCCAGTAAAATTGTGGGGAGACTGACTCCAACAGATTTCTGTGCAGCCTTCACCACTCTCTGCAAAGCTTTTCTTTCTGCAGCTGTGCAGCCTCCATGCCACACGTTGATGCTGGAGCACAGGATGCTCTCCACTGCACACCTGTAGAAGGAGGTGAGGACTGAGCTTCCAGACCAGCTCGCCTCAGCCGTCTGAGGAAGTAGAGTCTCTGATGAGCTTTCTTGATCAGGCTGGTGGTGTTGTTGCTCCAGCTGAGGTTGTTGTTCATGTGTACACCCAAGTACTTGTAGCTGGAGACCACTTCCACTGCAGATCCTCTTATGTTCAGGGGGGTGTAGATGTTTTTGTTCCTTCTGAAGTCCACAATCATCTCCTTTGTCTTCTTCACATTGATGTGAAGGTTATTCTTTCTGCACCAGCTCTCCAGGTGTTCCACCTCCTGCCTGTAGCTGGACTCATCATTGTTTGTGATGCATCCCACCACCACAGTATCATCTGCAAACTTTACAATATGACAGCCTGGATGGGTAGCTGCACAATCATACGTGAGCAGAGTAAACAGGAGGGGGCTCAACACACATCCCTGAGGAGAGCCAGTGCTGAGGGTTATGGTGGAGGAGGAGAGGTTGTGGATCCTCACTAACTGTGGTCTGTTTGTTAAGAATCTAGTACCCAGTTGCAGATGGAGGGGCTTAGTCCTAGTGTGGATAGTTTGTCCATCAGGGTTTGGGGGATCATGGTGTTGAAGGCGGATGTGAAGTCCACAAAGAGCATACGGACGTAAGAGTTTTTCTGCTCCAGGTGGGTGAGAGCAGTGTGGACCACAGAGGAGATTGTGTCCTCTGTTGATCGGTTCTCACGGTATGCATACTGATGAGGGTCCTCGTTAATGTTGATGGTTGTTTTGATGTGAGTCATGACCAGTTTTTCAAAGCATTTAGCGACTATCAGGGTGAGGGCCACTGGCCGATAGTCATTCAGACCAGTCGCTGTAGAGCTCTTTGGGACTGGGATGATGGTGGCAGTCTTCAGGCAGGTGGGAACTGTTGCCAGAGTAAGTGAGGAGATGTCAGCCAGCACCTCACAGAGCTGATCAGCACATTCTTTCAGCACATTCCCGGGGATGTTGTCTGGGCCAGTTGCTTTGTGAGGATTAATCCTCCTGAAAGTTCTCCTTACTTCTGCTGAGGTCACACTGAGAAGCTCTTCGTCCAGTGGTGAGGCGAGTCTGGTGCTGGGTGGTCTGTTCAGGTCTTCAAATCATGCATAGAACTTTATTGAGGGCATCAGGCAGAGATGAGTCCCTTGGGCATTGTGCACCTCTGCCTTTACAATCTGTTATGCATTTAATGCCCCTCCACATGCTCCGTGGGTCCTGTGACGTGAATAGACCCTGGATCCTCTGTGCATACATGGCTTTGGCCCTAGCAACCAGCTCTTTCCTTGTCCTTCTCAGCTCCTGTGAGTTGCCAGACCTGAAGGCAGTGTCCCTGGCCAAAAACCTCCACATCTACACATCTAGACATCTGCGCTTACCTTAGAGCAGGGGTTCCCAACCTTGGTCCTTGAGGAACACCATCCTGAATGCTTTAGTTGTTTCTCTGCTCCAACACATGTGATTTTAATTAATGGGTAATTAATAGGCTTCTGCAGAACATGAGGAAGTAATTAACTCACTGAATCAGGTGTGTTGGAGCAGGGAAACAACTAAAACATGCAGGATGGTGTTCCTCAAGGACCAGGGTAGAAACAACAAAATATGCAAATATTACCACAAATATCAAATGTGTACCCAAAAATAAAATAAATAAATAACGCTCCCATATTGTGGTGCGTACTATGTACCAGAACTTATGGTAATCAGTTCAGAGCGTTAACACTGTACACTCACCCTCCAATACAAATAAAATCTTGTCGCCATTAAAGGATCTAACAGCCAAATATGGAGTCAAAGACAAGCTTAAGAAAAACTGCTGGTTGAGGGAGGCCGGTCCTGTGGTGTATTTTGATCCTGGAATGTTGCTGGATTTACATTCCTCTTGATGTATTCCATATAGCTTCATCGGAGCCGACAGCCACCTTGTCCGTCCCTCCATGCGTGATGTGAAGCCGTGCAGGAAAACGAAGTCCATACCGGACACCAGGACGGTTCCGCAGGAGTCGCCTCACCTCGGTGAACACTGCTCGTGCCTTTGCCACGCTGAGTGTGTAACAGCTGCGAGGAAGATGGATGATTCTTTGAAGCGGATCAGGCCTCTGCTGCGTGCTCGTTGTAATATCTCCACACAATCTTGATAATAACTCAGCCTGGCCACGATAACTCTCGATTTATCATCCGGCGCCTCTCCTGCCCGGTGTACGTGATCGATCAGCAGTGACTTGTCCAGCTTCCGCACCTCCATTTGCATTTTGGCTGTCACTGTAGGGGTGCACGCACCCGGCAACTCAGGAACTCCAATAATCCTAATATTGTTACATTTCATATTCCCCTCCACCGATTCAAGCCCTCTTCTCAGCCCATCCACCACCATCCCACACAGAGCCTCCACCTCATCGGAGCATAAAGACAGCCGTTTTCAGCCTCTGTTACACTTAGCTTGACTTGGTCAAACTCTGCTCGGAGGCCCGCGGTGGCACCAGCAACCTCTGCTCTCACCGCCTGCAACTCACTTCTAACAAAATTAAAGACATCAGAGCCGCCTTCATCTTCATCCTAATTATTGCTGTGACTTCAGATTTGATTGAAGCCAGAATGTCTGACCTCAGTCGACTCGACTGTCCCTCCAGAGCCTGGTGGGGCCGACGCGCCAGCTCCACCTGCTGCACTCGCCGCCTCAGAAACACGGTGGCCCGAGGCTGTAGCTGAGACAACGGGTCACATGGGCAGAGACCCCACAGCAGCTTTAAATCTTAGGTTAGAGGTCATATTACAGCTCCGTCGAGTGAATGATGCGACGACACAAACCTCAGAGGCAGAATCCAGCGCGGTGGCAGCGAGGATGTAATTAGAAAAGGCAGTTTATTCAGCAGAGTTGACAGGAGCCTGGCAAAACGCCGTTTACCAATCTGAGGCCATCTTGCATCTTTTGTTTGATTTTGTGATCTCATTTTTCTATTGTCCTCTTGTATATTATGTGCAGCACTTTGGCCGAGAACAGTTTTTAAATATGCAATATAAATAAATGTGATTTGAGAAGATGAGCCTGGGTTTGCAGGCCTGTTAAAAAGGAGTCATTCCTCTCCACCGTCGCCCGCTGCCTTGTGCTCGACTATGAAGGATTCAATTAAACCTGCTGGTCTACTTGGATAGTATGCTTAATTGGCATTTTGTAAGATATTAAATCTCACTGTTGTTTCAGACACAGCTGAGTACAACCAGACTACATTTTTAGGGCAGCACGGTGAAGCAGTGGTTAGCACCGTCACCTCACAACAAGGTTGCAGGATCGACTCCTGGCCTTTCAGTGTGGAATATACATGTTCTCCCTGTGTGATACTCCGGTTTCCTCCTACAGACCAAAAACATGCGCGTTAGGTTCGCTGGTAATTTTAAATCGTCTCTAGGTGTGAATGAGTGGTTGTGCCTCATTTGGCTCCATGTCCCTGTGATGGACTGGAGACATGTCCAGGGAGCCCCCACCTGTCAATCAATGACTGCTGGAGATGAACACAAACATCCCGGGATGAGGAAAGGAAATAATGAGTAAAAAAAAATAGATGAATCAATGGACGCGCTGCACTTGGATCTGAATGTGAAACTGTTTTGGACTGAATTGGATCTTGTAATTTTATGATTTGGACAGAATTTTTTCTTTTCAAGAACCAAGATAACTTCAGTTTTATTCTTAACAAAACTGAAATTTAAAAAGCTGCAGTAATTGTTGTTCAGGGACTTTAGCCGTTGTTGGAACATCCCGAGTATTTAAATGTAGTTGTGTAGTTGGAGGCGTTTTAGTACCGCGTGTACCAACCGCGTGTTTTATGAACGCCAGTGAGCCGTGCTGTAAATTCAAAGAATGGAAGAAGGAAAAAGAGACAATTTGCACAAATGTCCTGAAAACTTACAAAAATTTAATTTAAATACAAGACATGATAGCTTTCATTGTAAGGTGTTGATTGGTCCATTTATTGCACGAGGATTAAACTGCTCTTTAAAAGTCAGTGTCGAGACCAGAAAAAAACTTTTCTTCATTGCACTTTCCAGTTTGACAAAAGCTTACCCAGTCTGATGGTTACCAGACAAAGACTCTGTGCCTTTATAACGGGAAAAGACCAGAAACACCTGCTTATACTGAATAACTTATTACAAATAACTTGCCAAGAGTAACCCATTCGTTTTCATCGATCTCACACAAGGGATGATTACAGAGCATCGCCTGGAATCAAAAATCAGGCTCAAAACCACTTCAGCTTTACAACCTGCTGCTCAAAATACTTCAAAAAGGCCTCAAGGTACAAGAAAGTTCAGGTCGTCATTGCACAGATGCCAGAAAAGGAAAAACTAAGCCAAGCAGTACAATGACTTTTGTTCAGAGCACGTTATCAAAAAGGCACTTTTCTTAAGACGCAGTCTCCAGACTGGAATACAAAAAGTGCGTAAGAAAAAATTCACAGTGGGACCGAAGCTGAAACAGGCTTCATCGTTTCTGCAAAACACAATTAATACTTTATGGCTTCTTACAATCACAGGCAGCAAAAAACTTTCACATGGGATGCACATCCAGTAGAAATCAATGCACATACGGTACGTCTTTGGCTCAATCAACGTTTGGGCTGATGTTCAGTGGTGCCTTCCACTTGCATTGTTCGTGCACTTGGCTTGTAGGGTCATACAGAGATCACAGACCAACATACAGCATGACTGCACAGGTAAAAGGCAGTGTTGCTCAAAAGCTCTGTACGTAGCTTCATAAAGTGGAGTTTAACCCCAGCTCAAATATTATGTCTCTTTATGGAAGTAAAGGTACAGATTTCAACAGAAGAGGTGGTGTCACTTTGTCCAGGCGAGTCCAGCAGTGACGGGACTGTTGTGGAGACGTCCTGAGCGGGAGCTTTGTTTGTGTTGAATGGAAGCAGAGGATCTTTAGCTACAGTCTGCAGGTGAACAGCTTCACAGTCCAGAGACAAACCAGCCACCGGGACAGTTCGGGGTTTCAGGAGCTGCTCGTCCTCTCACTGGACGTGCAGGACGTCACTCTCTTTCAGACCAAAGCGGGTCTTGTACTTGTCAAAAAGGCTCAGCAGGGACCGGAGGTACATCCCATGGTACAGGTCCACCATCGCCTCAGTCGGGTTCTCAATTTTTGGCACCGTTATTGGCTCCCCGACTAAAATAAAACACAAATAATTATGAAAAAAATACTATAAAAAAATACTGACTTTCTGCTGTTTAACTTCTTTAGTAGGTATTGCACAGAAAATATACATATTTAAAAAACTACAGGCTTTGACTTAGATGCAGAACAAATGTCAAACTATCTGGTGAAAAAAAAATATGATTTACAGAATCAAAACCAAAAATTTACAGAATCATTAAAATAATCTACTTGTATACGTTATCAGATGGTATAAAAAGATGATCCAATTCATCTCCCATCCAGTTTTGATTCTAAAATTATTTTTCACAGCTAACACTTTGGTGCAGCGTTCATCTCTGCTGGCATCAGCAGCAAGAATGTAGCTTTTAGCTGCGTTTAACCATCACCTGCCTCCAAAGATGAAGCATGTCTGTGTGGTAGTAGGAGAGAGTCATCTTTAACCCATACTTCAAGGGCTAACAGGTCGTGAGCAATCACAAAAGCTCCAGTTCTCTCTCACCATCGATCGATATGAAACTTTGCCATGAAAGGCAGACGTGAGCTTTATGGAAATGTTTGATAAAGTGCAATAGTTGTACATAAACTGACATTAAAGCATCCACTGGTCTGAGCTGGAATCACACAAACTGCTGGTCCAGCTCACCGGACCAACAGTTTTGTTGATGTGACAGTCCCGTGGGTTTGTTCGCTCTCCGCTGCCACTACAGCAAAGTTCAACTGAATCGCTCTAAAAATGGCAGAGTTATCGTATTTCTTTCCTTTAGCTAAGGCGGCCATCTTGGATTTTTGATTTGGATTCAGTATGCGACAGGGAACATTCTCGGCTATAACCTCACCAAATTTCAGCTCTGGATGTGTAAAAACGCCTGAGCTAAAGGCGTTTAAAAGTAGAGTTGGTGGCCATCTTGGATTTTTGATTTGGATACAGCATTTGATAGGAAACATTCTCAGCTATCATCTTACCAAGTTGTTGCCAAATGTCCCTAAAATCAATCAAAACCAATAATCAAACTGTTAGTCCAGCTCACCTATGGTGGTGATGGGGTTGGAGAAAGGCAGGATGCAGAAGGAGCTGCCGTAGAAAAGACACGGAGCAAAGCCCAAGATCTTCTGCAGCCTCTTCTGCAGAGTCCTCCAGCAGGTCCCCTCCTCAAAGATCACCTGCTTGTAGACGTCGTTCTCCCCAAACGAATACACAGGAACCAGGTCGGACCTGAGGAGAACACGGGGAGGACGTGTCCAAATTCATAAGAAGAACACAGAAAAAACTGAAGTACTTCTGTTCTTTGAGCTGGCGTGGTCTCCGTTTACGTAACCTCCGTTGTTCATCGTGTTTTTACTGATGCGTGCCGTCATGTCCGAGACTCTCCTGGCTTTGAAAACCTGGATCGCACTATAACACGCCTCAGCGTGGTCCATGGCAGAGCGTTTGAACCAGTCTGCACGTCCCACGTTTGGGTGGCAGTCGAATACTCAGGAGGAGCTTTGGTTTGTTGCGTCCGGCCCACAAAGTTCAAGTTGGGTCACAGAAAAACAGCAGCACCTACGTGCAGCGTTCTCCAGGGGATCAGACGTGTTTTTGTGCTGCACAGACCAATAACGACCAAGGGTATTATGAAAAGTGGAACTCTCTGGACTGAGCAGAATCCACAGTGATCTGGTCTAAAACTGGACCAAGAGACTTTTCACGAGACGACGCAGAATCAACACATTTACCTCCTCAAATCATCATCAACGATGTTCTAAGATTAAAAACAACTTTCTGTGTGAACGACGAGTGTTTTCACACAAAAACAGTTTTACAGTTTACTTTTATTTTCCATGCTGGTTTTGTAATCCGACTACTTCTGAATACTTGGTGCCATTTTAGCCTCTCGTATATGAAAACGTTCAGCTCATTCGGGAGCTACGATTTGATATTTTGCTAAATTTATACCGTTTTAAAGTATATTTAACTTTATTTAAAACATATTTTCCTAACCGATCTGCTCGATTCTTCAAATAAAAACTTTGCCCGCTTTTAAATCTTTAGGATACTCACTATTTTTACTCTTCTTGTGCTTTTTTTTAGCTTTTAGCTACCAGTCAACCACTTTGAGCTTCTAGCTAGCCTTTTGCTACTTTCAGCATTGCCTAGAAAAAGCTGCTATTAGCTCGTTTTTTGCCTTTTGCTACTTTAAATAGGTTTTCCTACTTTAGGCTTTTAGCAAGACTAGCTATTTTAGCTAGTGTTTTCTTTTTCTCAGTGTTTTGTTTTTTAGCTTCTTTTGAGATTATGCTTTTTTCATTCAAAGTCTTTTTCCAAATTATTTAATCGGTTTCAACATCATCCCCATTTATATGCATTTAAACACATCTGAGATATAGCAAGTGTGCAAAATGAGCCGAACCTAAAGCTTTAAGCTCATGTTGCTCTGGACGAAGGTCCTCGTGACGGCATGTCTTTCTCCAGCGAGCTCTAAGCTTCTTTAGACAAGGTGCACCCAGTGATGTGGTTGATAATCCTCCATTGTTTGGGCTACTGATCCAAACCAAGTCAGCTCGTCAATGCAGTTTATAACCGAAGCCGAGGGCAGCTGCAGGTCAGCGCACATACGGACCTCTCCAAAAGCCCACGACCTGCCACGAGGTGCTCGCACCCTTCACACTGCACATTAACAGATTTAGCCACACCCTCCCTGGGCATTAGTTTCCCTTTCTTGGAGGAATAAGCCAAGATTTATTCATTCCACCGAGTCACCGCAGAGGCAAGAATGACATTTTGCCCACAGATTAGGTCAGGACTCGGTCACATTGTGGTGCATTCTCACCCTTTCTGCAGGGCCAGGCGAACGAAGCCTTTCCGGTTCTTCAAGGTGACAGAATTCATGCCGGGGGCACAGTGCAGAGACTCCGCTGCTCCTCCGACAACAATGACCACAGCATTTCCTGTTCCGTTACACGACAGCAGGTAGTCGATGGAGTTCCTGTTCACTGGGCAGATGCCTACAAGAGGAAGGAGATACAGAAACATGATGTTATTTCTGCTGCCAAGCTACTATGTGAATACTATGACTTCAGATTTTTGTATACTTTATAGTTGTCTAAATATTTCATGGTTTACAAATATTTTCCTCAGAGATTTCAATTCCTCCTAAACATTTTCTCTGAAACTTGCTTCAGAACGTTTTATCTTCTTAAGCTACTTTTAATTTTTCAGCCACCATTCTGCTACTTTCAGTTTATAGCTAGCCTTTGCCACATTTAGCTTCTCTTTTGCCACATT